CCCGCTCCTGCCCTGCCATGACGCTGCAGAACCAGCTCAAGAAAGCGTTCCTGCACCGCGTCAGAGGGAAATACCCGGGCCAGCTGGAGATAGGTAACCTCTCTCCCTCCCTCCCAGCGCCAGCCAAGGTCGCATGGAGGCTCCCGGCCCTCCCTGAGTCCCAGCAGGCCTCCCCATTCCTCGGTACCAGGCAGCTTCCTCTCACTGGGGGAGGAGGGGCGTCCGTAGGTGGGCTTCTGAGCAGCCCGTGAACCCCTGACGCCAGAAGGTTGGGGCCTTTTTCTGGGGACAGACCCTGCCTTCCTCCAGACCTATAGAGAGACAGAAAGAAGCTCCCAGTAAGGTAGGCAGGCGAGGCCCAGCAAAGGCCTCCTGGACGTCCCAGAGTGCAGGGCTGTAGCAGTTTTCTCTGTTGAGCAACCGAAGGGCAACAGTCATACTCCAGGGGTCGTCGGCAAGGGACGCCTCCCCACGCGTCAGTAGAAAGCCCTCGACTGCCCAGCTGTGCCCAGCAGTGCTCCGAGGGCCGAGGCCTCCACCCTGACAGCCTTCTCCCGCCCGGCCAGTGTGCCGCAGGCTGCTGGAGCAGGTGCTCAGCTGCGGAGGGCTGCTGCCTGGGCCCAGGCTCCTCGAGGAGCAGACCGTCACCTGGTTCCAGTTTCACCACTACCTGCAGAGGCAGGGCGTCTCTGACCTGGAGAAACACCTGGCCCACCTCACCAAGGAAGGTAGGAGCGGGCTGGGTGGCAGGTGCCCTCATGGTGATGGTTTCAGCCAAGGACCATCCCTGGAGCCATCACTGCCCGGCTCCGAAGCCAGCCTCTCAGGCTATCGTTCTCAACCACCGTGCCTTTCCCCGCCGGCTGTCAAAAACCCGGATCGAAGGGGACTCCGTATTCAGCAATGTGGCGAAATGATCAACAGCTCCAAGGGAATGTGCTTTAAAAAGCACAGAGCATAGGCCAGGGCTGGGGGAGAGGGCAAGGCGAGACTCGGCAGGCCGGCGTCCCTGGAACTGTGGTTTTAGCTGATTTGCAGGGTGTATTTGACCCTTTGCTACACAAGGTGGTGATCCGTGCAAGGAGTGACCATGATAGCCCAGAGGTCCCCTAGAGAGCCCAGGAGGCCCCCTCAAAACCACGCCAGCTTGGGCTCTAGGGACCTACTTGCTCTGGGCCTGGCTTCTCCATGGCTACCCTGCAGCTGAGCTGCCTGACTCCAGCTGGGGCCCTGGGCCTGTGTCCCCCCTGTCTTCCAGTCACGCTGATCGAGGCGCTGCACTGTCCTGGGCGTGCCAAGGCCAGCAGGAAGCTGCAGGGGAAGCAGCTGGGCCAGCTCCAGCCCCTGCCTCAGACCTTGCAAGCCTGGGCGCTGCTGCAGCTGGACGGGACTCCGCGGGCATGCAGGGCAGCCAGTGCACGCCTGGCCGCCGCGGCCAAGAACAGGAGCTTCCGGGAGAAGGTACGCCGGCCACGGGTGTGTGGGGGAGCAGGCTTTCCCTCAGGGAAGGGATCAGAGACTGCCCAGGCTGCACTAGCTGGGCGATACCTGGATTAGGGATGCTCTGAGGAGGCCTAGCATGACCAAGAGGGATCTGGACCATCTGAGGACACGCTTGGCCACAGTGCAGGCTGGCCATCTCTGTGTTTCTAAAGCAACCTACCTGTGTGGTCCCCCAGACTGTCACACTGAATGTCTGTCTTAAGATTCTCAGGCCAGCAGATGGTGTTGGAAGGTAAGGCGCTGAATTCCACATGGCCAGCTATGTGGTTCAAGTCTCAGACCCAGCGGCTGGAAAATCATGCTGGGCGTGTGTGCGCCTGCGCCTAAAATTCCAACAGGAGACTGAAGGAGGAGGGATTATGGCATGGCCACCCCCCCTCAGTTTCAGTTTCTCTCCTTCTCTTTGGCAAGCACACGCACCCTATAGTAAAAAAAAAAAAAAAAAAAAAAAAGCTTGGATGGCCGCCTCGTTTACCTTCAGTAAATACTTGCGGGTAGCTGTCCATTTGAGAACCATGAGATTGGACCCTCTCCTGTCCGGTTCCTGGGTCTGTGACGTTACCTACTGAAGGCAGCAGGCCGAGTTTGGGGACAGGGTAACGGCGGGGCCGCCCTCTCCCCCTCGGCCTCAGCAGGACTGGAGAGCTCCAGGGCCTCCTGACCATCCTTTTTGGAGCACCCGAACATTGTGGCTTTTCACTCTTACGACTCGAGACTTGGAAGCGTTAGGGCCGTGCTATCCGGAGTGGAGGTTAACGGTTTCAGGCGTGACACTAGGACGGCAGTAATGGTCTTTTAATCCTGACCTTGACACACTTAGCTATTCGAGTCTAACAGAACAGCTGGCACGCTTACCTACCCAAAGCTCATAGAACATCGGGGATTGCCCCACAGGGATGGGGGTGCAGGACTGGCCAAGGGTGGGTGGTGGTGGGGTTTGGCTGATGGTGCGTGTGGACTCATTTATTCTGTCTTCTTTAGGGGGTGTTCAAAGTCCCCAAAGGAAGTGTTTAGTTTCTCATCTAACCAGGGTGCACACAGGGTTCACGCATGACTGCTGACGTCTCTTGGATCCCCTTCAGCCCGAGGGCCCTCCCTCCGCATCCTCCCTCCCCATCCTCCCTGCCACCTCCCTGCGGGTGCCTGCTGCCCCGTGACACCCAGACTTGGCCCGCACCGCGCGGCTTAGTGTCTCTGGTCTGTTATTTCCTGAAAGTCAGTAGTTGAATTTAAGAACTTAATCGGGTCCAGGCTTACCCTCATTTTGTTATCATATTTATTTTTGCTATGGGTGTGCTGTTCCTTTTAACACTGTAGAAAGTCTCATGTGACAGACCCTTCCCTCCAGGTGCAGCACTGGGGAGGAAGCAGGGCCGTGAGGCCAGCAGCAGCGGGCCAACCCCGTGGTTCCCGCCCTCCGTGTCCTGCTGGTCCTCATGGTGCCCATGTTGGGGGAGGGGAGCTCTGGGCCCGCCTCCCCGGTCTCCCTCCCCAGAGAGAGATGTTCTCTGTACAAAGGGCCACTGCAGAGGCTCTGGCGGCCATGCTCGTCTGCTCGGGCACAGCCCTGTGGAGCACCTCTGAGCCCTGGCCCTTCGGCCTCCTCACCCTGCAGCCGAAGGGGCACTGCTCAGCTGGGCACTGCCC